CCTGGCCTCAAGCAGCTCCAGCTGCTGCAGGTCATGTCCCAGTCAGTCTGCCAGCTGGGTGGGGACTGTGCATCCTGGGAATGGAGGGTTTTGAATTGAGCAACTATTCTTTTCTCTAAATAATCCTTCTGTGGTTCTATGGCTGCTCAGTAGGTTTGTTGGATGATGTATCTGCACAAGGTCACCTGTTTCAGCCTGGCTTGCCATGACTATCAGACAGAGTTCTCCACCACTATCCCTCACGTCTTTATGTCCAGGTCATAAGTCAGAGAATAGCTTTGATGAATTCCTGGACATTTCTAATTCACAACAGCCAGATTCAGTTAAGGAAAACATGTGTCTCCTCACTTCCACTGTGAATGATCCAGTCAAAGAGAACACTTAACTCGCGGACTGTTGTTCAGTTAGTAACACAAGACGAGGTTTGTTGGCAAGGCCATTTCTGTGATGCTGTGTTCAAGTCAGGAGTGAGCTCTTAGACCTTCCAACTGGGAGTCTGTCACCCCACCCTGGTTTGATAGTGTCCTGTGACACCTTTCCCAGAGGCTCCATGAAAGTGGAAAATGCTATACTGGTTGCCCTGAGCAGGCTAGGAGCTATAATTGCAGAGATGGAGGTACCCCATATCTCAAGAAAACTAACCTGGATGTTACCTTTTAGATGAGCTTGGATGTTCCTTTACTTCACTAACAACCAGCTCCATGCACTGTACACACTCAGTCTGGCAGACCACAGCTCCTCTGAGCCTGAGAAAAATCAATTGTCCCTTTCATCAGCTGCAGTGTCTTTCACAGTTACTGACCCCTATTTATAATGTTGATGTCTGTTTGCTGGTGTGTAACAGAGATGCCTCCCTTGTGTTTGGACTTCAAAAAGAAATTTCAGAGATGTGGCTGATTATCTAAGTATCAGTTCACCCAAGCCACTATCTACTTAGAACAAAGCAAACCTCTCAAATACAGATAAGTCTACTTCTATACACAGCACTCATTTCTTCATTCATTTAACCAGTGAGTTACTGAAGGTGAATGGATATAAAATAACTACAATTCACAGATTTGGGATAGGTTCCTAACAGTGAATGATTCTATTCCTTTATTTATTGATATCTTCTCTATGCTCATGGAGAAACTGAGGTACAGAAGTTTTAACTTTCTTCGAAGGAGTGAGCTTGAGCCAAAGTGGTCTAGCTACCTCCACATCTCATGTTATTTGCCTAATACACAGCTACATACTTCAACCCAGGAAGAAAATAACACAGATCAAGCACTAGGCAGAGATACAACAGACAACTAATGGTGAGGGGGAGGGGCTTGTTTAGTGGGAGGGAGAAGTTGAAGGTGAAGCTGTCCTTGCTGATGTGTAGGCCAGGGTAGCCAGGAGATGATATGGCTGATGACAGTCAACAGTAATCAAAACAAATGTGACTGCCGACTAGCCCTGGCCTTGAAGTAAGAGTTGAAGGCTCACTTCCAAAACAGCAATTTGAAAAAGTTCAGGGACTTTCCTCCTCTAATTTAAGTCACAGACATCCTGGGAACTATGCTTCTCCTGTGTGTTGATGCATAGCTGAAGTGTTTGAAACATAAACCTCAAATGCCACAGATGATAGACATGAACACTTGACGTTCCTTGTCACAGCCCAAGTCCCCAGAATCCAGTCTGTCTACACAAAGAAGGGCACTTACACGTCTGTAGAGGACATGGCTTCTTTGAGAGTGTCTTTTTATTTTTATTTTTTCACATAAGTCAATTTGGGTTTTATCATTCTGTCTTTGCAAAAAATAGTTCAAACAAGTTCTAACATAGCATGTATTAACCGTGGTAAGGTACTAACAAAGTCATCTAACCTGGAGTATCCTCATTCTTTACTGAGTGCCTAGAAAGGTGTTATACAAGCAGCTTGATCATGAATAGACTGGGATATTTAAGAACATTCCCAGCTCTTCTTTGATCTAAATGTAAAATGTAAGTCAATCCTGACATACCACATCTATACTTGTTGAGTGTCTCTACTATCCCCGTGAACACTAGCTCATAAAAGATGTGCATGGTGCCATGTACCAGTGATGCTTCAAAGAGATCTCTATGCCAGTCATCCTACGATGCAGTCAGCAAATGTTCATTGAGTCCAGTTGCACCTGTTAATAATTCCAGTCGTTCAAGTATCATTGATGAGAAAGTCCCATGTCAATCTTCCTTCAGTTCAAACTAATTTTTGGCTGCTCATAATTAAGACATCATTTAATTTCCTTCCATCTTGTTCTTCTCTATCTTACACAAGAAGTTGTACAAGGCTTAAGATACCAAGTTCTCCAAGCTTTGGGACAAGAAGTGAGAAACTGTACCCCAGTAGATACTACCTAAAAGTGGTAGGGAAAATGAGCATACACACATGCTCATTCTACCAGTGATTGGGTCCTTTTCTACTGCCATACTTTAAGTTTCCAGTCTCCTTCACAGTTCCCCTAATCCAAGGTTCTGGAAGAAAGTAGAATGACCTCCTGGTTTTACTATGAAAGCAAAACAAAACACAATTAAAAAATCAAAACTAAACTTAACTGGAACCAAGATGAAAATATACCAGGGGCACACACTTTGTCTTCTCTGGAAAATTCTAGAAATTCACCAGACAGCTGACTGCCACCATAGAGAGGCGTCTGAGTAAAACCTGCCCAGGTGAACAGAAGAACCCATCTGTTCACTACAAAGTGAATAATGAATCGTCATCAGAAAAAGCATTAAAAAATGTTTGTCCCTTTGGAGCCTAAGAATTACCAGTGTTTATCTTAAATGCAAGTGTTTATTTCCCACTTTATCCCAAATATTTTAACCATCCAAGTGATCTGAGGACAGAGGTCAATAGAAACTGTCGTCAACCAGTTTGGGCAACGGGGTGTAGCCTAGTGCAATATTGCTATAGCGGAAAGAAAAATGCTTGGTAACTAAGCATTGTGCATTGTGTCCAAATGCTACCATTTAAAATTCTAATATGTTTTATGAAATAAAGAAAACACTCTCAAAATCCTGCTTATATTATGCATGTTCTTGACAGCCCCCTCTGTCTCTGGGCGACATGTTCTAATGCTGTCACTGAATCCTTAGACCACAAGCCAGTAGAATCCAAATGAGGCCTGATTAGGTCCTTTTAGGAAGCACTTAGCTAGATATTTTTGTGGCTATCATTAGACAAAAGAAGTGTTGTTTCAGGATCTCTTTACAAGCATAAAAGAGATGTAAAATTTCCCCTTCATGAACACATCAAGTAGAAATGCACACAGTTATGCTGGCACAGGCTTGGTATCTAAGATGGTCTAGTGATATCTTCAAAAAAGACAATGCATAGAAGAGAGTGAGCCATGCAGACAAAGGCATAACTAAGAAAAGCCCAAAGAGAGATTTTAGATTTCTGAGTCTCACTTACCTTGGGCTGATCTTGGTCCTGCTGCACCTATGCACTCCTTGTAGAACTTTCCATCAGCCCTTTGTGAAATCCTTGCAGGCTTAAGAGAAAGGTCTTTAGACTGCACAAAGATCTTCCTATCTTCAATACACACTGGCCTGGCAAACCCAAATCAAATTAGATTACAAACATTCACAAATTAGCTGTTTCCTGAGCAGCCCTGGGGATCTAGCTGGAATCCAGGAATGGTGATACATATGTGTAATCTCAGCCCCTGAGAGGTAAAAGTGGACATATCCAGACTTAAAAGTTATCCTAGCTACATAATGAGTTCAGTCTGCCTAGGCAACATAAGACCCATCTTGGTAAAGACACTTTTTATCCTAAAAGGACCTATGGCCCTGAGGAATCCCAGTGCCAAATCTTTATAAGAACCAGGGAAGTCTAAATTTGTCCCAGGATTGACTAGATCTTTGAGAATAAAAAAGGAAGAATAAGAAAAAGGAATAGAGGTGCAGATGCTGGTGGAGGAGGAGAATATTATTTAATGATTCCACACCTGTCTTATATAATTATATCACACATACTTTCACTAGGTGCAGTGAAAATGTATAAGACAGCTTTCATTTTTAATACATCAGGAAATCAATTAAATTACTCTCCCAAAGCCATTTATTTATTCAGAAAATATTTGCCAAGTAGCAAGAACTATTTGAGTTGCTAGTAAAATAATGGTGATGTATAGAGTTGTACCTTTGCAAAGCTCACATTTTAGCCAGATATTTTAAACATGATCACTATTATTAGTCACAATAAGAAATGTGTGTTAAACTATCACATAATATATGCACACAATAAGTACATACATATATTTGAATAAAGTTTGCACATGCAAACTCTAGTGCAGGCAAAGCACCATGTGCCCTGATACTTTCTGTTTAGTTGTGTTCTTTTTTAAACCAGTATATCAGTTATGTTTCTCATTGCTATGACAAAATGATGTGACAAAAGCAGCTTAAGGAAGGAAAAGATTTATTTATTTATTTATTTATTTATTTATTTGCTCACAGTGCCAGAGTACAGTCCATCATGGCAGAGAAGTCTTAGCATCTGGAGGTGGAGGCAGCTCCAGATTGTATCCAGTCAGGAAGCGAAGAATGACAAATACTGATGTTATCTAGCTTTCACTATTTTATTTAGTTCAAGACTCCAGCCTGTGGGATGGAACCATCTACATTTAGGTTGGCTCTTCCTACCAATTAACCCAATCTAGAAAATTCCCTTATGGACAAGCCAGTCATAATCAGTTGGTTGATTTTATGTCCAATTCAGGACAGTCTGACTTGAGTAGAATGGAAATAATTCACTATGTCTTCAAAGACTGGGAGTCTCTGCATATGTTTCCATTATAGCTGCTGTAACTGAATGTGATTAGTGTACAGTTCAATGGCTAGGGAAAGGAAGGGGAAAAATGAAAGATGTCTTTCTTTTGGGCTTGGTGGAAACCATCTAACTCCAGTTCAGATTGCCCAAGCTCTTCCTGCTCTCCTTCACATGAGCCTTCTGTTGACTCCAACCCTTTGTTCTCTCCACACAGGCTGACAACTGAATATCCAGGCCACTATGGGGAAGAAATGGACATGATTTCCTATAACTATGACTACTACATCCGAGGAGCCACGACCACTTTCTCTGCAGTGGAAAGGTGAGGAGGTCACCCCTTTCCAGTGAGCTCCAGGTTAAAGCTGTGCAGATTCACTCCTTGCTGGGATCCTGACTGTAGGTATTTTTACCCATTGACTTCCACAGTCTAGTTTCCTACTTAGTCAAGGATTAACTATGGGTTTGGTTAGGTAGTGAGAAGTGAAGAGTCCTCAGAGACCTGCCTCATAAGGCAGTGTGACCTTGCCAAGGAGGGCAGATACCAGCCTACTCCACAGCAGAGTCCTGAACTTGACATTGTTATCCCTTGATGTTCTGAGCAATTCCTGCACTCAACTTCAGAAAGCACTTGACATGACAAGAACAGGTTGAATGGTGAAAAGAGTATTCACTATCAAATTGGACCCTTTCTAGTCCTGTGTCTCTGTGTGTTCCCCACTTAGAATCGTAGGAAGGGAGCGAGAAAAGAACAAGAGGGGATTGGACAGAAAGAACACACAAAATCCATTCTTTCAGTATGTTCAGTCTACTAGAATACAACATCTAAAACTGGACAATTGATAGAAATCAGAAATCTATTGCTCACAGCCCCAGAGACAGCTGTGGAATTCAGGATCAAGGAAGTAGCAGAGATGTGGTGAGGAACACTCCTTGCTTCAAAGATGGAACCTTTCACCATGTCCCCACACAGTTGATGGACAAGACAGCTGCACGCAGCCTACTCACAAAGGTGCTAATGTTATTCACAAGGGCAGCATCTTTTTGACATAATCAGTCCCCATGGCCCTTACTATTACTTAGTACTACCCTTACTATTACTTAGTACTATGACTACATTGGACATTAGTTTCTAGCACACAGAAGTTGTGATAGACAATAACGTGCAGACCATGTGATCTAACTAATCACATCCAGAAATGAAAAGGGAGTCAGTCATTCCAGATGAAGTCAAAGTCCTTCTTGAATGAGAAGATTTGCATAACTTCAGGAAAAAAACAGCACTAACCTGGACCACCACCCCACCCCCATCCCACTCTACCCACACCCTATCCACTTCTCCCCTCCTCCACCATCACCCCCGCTTCTCCTATTATTCCTTTGTGGTCCTCTCCCAAATACATCAAAACAATAAGAAAACAAGGTCCAAAATTCCTGTAGACACAAGCTTCATGTGGACCTTGTGGTTAGTTCTCTATTAACATGAAAAATTATGGAGAAATTCAGATGCCAAGAGTCGATGTGACTGCTTTTAATTAAGTGGTAACAATGTCACATAAAAGTGAATTCTGGGAAGATTACACACTCGGCCTTTGCAAACCAAATAAAACTAACAAAATCTCATTAGGTAACAGACTATGAGCAATTTAAGTGCAATTTATCTCTTGTGTATATGCTTTCAACTGAAGTTGCATCTCACTTAACTGCTGTTAACTTATTTAATATGGATTACAATTTTCAAAGATATAGAGTATCTCTGGAAAAGCACATTGTATGCTCTGGGCTCCACAAGCACAGACTCAGTTTTCATATGTAACTGGTTTTTATTTGAGATAGGGTTTTAGCTTAGTTACCTGTTTTCTAAGGCTACAGTTTAAAGGGGGAATAGTACTTAGGATAAACTCACCCCACTGAGGAGAAACAATTGAGTGGTGTACCACACAACAATGATAATTAAAAGAAAGAGAAAGATCCAAGAACTCAAAGAATATGAAAATTCAATATCATTAAGCAACAAAATAGTACCAGTGTCCTTGTTCCTAAAGATTCCCCAGGTTAAAGAGGAAATTTGTTTTGAGTTTTCTGGTTAAAAACAATAAAAAATAAATATCACCCCAAAATTGGTATGAAATAAATATCTTTTGGCAGTTGAAATGGCCAGTTCTTACTGGCTTGGAAATGATTAGTTGTGAAAAATGTATAGAATCACTGAAGACTGAACTACAGTGTCTCTGGTCTGTTTTAAAATGAATTCCTCCTCCCAGATAAAATAAAATGAGCATTTTGCTGCAGTCACCATTAGTCAGTGACTTGAAGATCCACAGTTTTGTTTCTTCATTTCTATTGAAGACAGTGTGCTCACCCCAACCCCACTAAACAAACAGCTTTAGAGCAAGGGCTTCCCTTCCATGCACAACTCACTCATAGAAGTTCCTCCTGGAATAGTTTCTCATCCTGCGCTGAGATAATTCTTTGTTGCAGGTACCTGTCTTGTGAGTCTAGGTCTACCCACTAAGTGTCACATCTTCAATGGGAGAAGCGAAACACTTTACAGTCATTGCGAAATATATCATGGGAGCCATTCAGCCCCTAGCTGAAAGGTACTCCCTGGGAGGGAAAACAGAACCTGGTTGGACCCCTTGATACTTTTAGGACCAAGTCTAAATTTTTCTCAGCATCCATAAACTGCCTCTTAAATGAACAACATTAATGCCTGGCCACAAGATCTTTCTTATCTTCTCCATGCGTAGATGTGCACTTCTTAACTGTGCATATTAAATTCACTTAGAAAACATACACAGCACCAGCTTGTTAATCATCAAAAGCAAGCCATGTCCTCTGTGGATGATTTTACAAGAACAAATATCAACACACAGCTCATTTCCCCCAAGCCCTCAAAGACGTGTGCTAGAAAACGTTATCCCCAATGGCTCTGCATAGACAAACTGGAAAAACAGACTCAGAATTAGGAAGCTGGCCTTGGGCTATTTGCTTACTGTCCACATCCCCCACCCAGAATAGTATGGCCATCCCCACACACTTCCCTTGAAGAAGCTGGATACAGATACTGTCAGTCAGTGTTTAGGATACACTGAATTAGAAAGAAGCATGGAGGAGAAGGAGAAAAGGCTTTGGTAGAGATTGCTTGGTTGAATATGGATAAAATAGTTCCATGCTTTATTGGAATTATTCAAAAAGCATGGCATATGTGTCCTCTGGTAGCATTACAGGCACCTGGCAAAGGGACACAGAGTAGCAGAAGAGAAAGACCAAAGTTTGAGGCCAGCACACTTGAAATCCAATATCATCACGTATCACTTGTAATCCTTTAAAGCAAGTCTTATTCCACTGAACCTATTTCTTCACAAAACAATGAGTCACTGTGGAGATTACTGAGAGAACACTTAGTCGTATCGTATCTAGTGCAAGGCTGGACACATTGGAAGCACTAGGGGCTTCACAATGGCAATGGTTGCTGTCATTGTTAAATAGTATCAGACCACAGGAATGCTATGCAGTGTAGATATTCCCTGAATTTCTATTAATTGCTTGAAAAAAGAACACATGTATCCACACTGTGTTTTTCAAAACTGAGCAGCTCTGTGTCCTTTCAAATCCATCCCATCCCTTAAATAGGCCATTCCATTTCCAGAAGGTGAGAAGAGCAGGCTTTTCCTTTCTTGCTTGAAGGTGTCTTGAGTTGTCCCCACTCAGCTTACATGTGGTTTCAAAGGGGACACAGTACATCTTCTGGATCCCAGTGCATGGAGAGTACTGGCTGGGTAGAGAGGAAGTGTTGGCAGGAATATGGATGGCCTTTTAGAAGGAAGATTCTTCGCAATGAAATGGAGATGTTGCTAATAAATGCTTTTACTCTGAGCCATGAACTTGTAAATCCTGGAGGCTCCTCGGAGGTTTAGCCATGGAGAACTAACCTCCAGCCATGAATAAAAGCCTCCATATGGCCTAGAGCCAGCAAGGAGATGTCTAATCTTACAGACCCACTGGTTCTTGGAGACTATTGCAGTCTTCTGAGAACAAAGTGAGGAATCCCTGCAGCTCTGAAATCCTGCCAAAGCCCTTCACTGCTTTTCCCCACAGAGGCTCTTTCTGTTTTCACTGACATTCATCTTCTGGCTCTCCTCCCACAGGGATCGCCAATGGAAGTTCATAATGTGCCGGATGACGGATTATGACTGCGAGTTTGCAAATGTTTAGATTTGCCACCTACAGAAGTTTGGGTGAAGGGCAAGGGGCCAGGCGTCCTGAGGGTTTCATACCATATAGACTAATATTACTTAGAACATCTACAGTTCCCTAAGATGGGAGGTACAGCATCAGCTGCCTGGGCCTTTCTCACGATTACACACATAAACAAAGCCACAATTAAGTAGTGTTTCTCACTTTCAACACTTTCAATAACAACCATCTCCAGTTGCTGATGATGGCTTCCTTGTATACCACATATACAGCGCTTGCATCCTTGCAGCCTGTTGCCCAGAGCACCTACCAAAGCTTTGCTGCTATTCTCCCTATAACCTGAGCTTCAAATTCAGCATAGTACATGTGGTCAGAGAGAAAGGAAGGGTTGAGATAAAGATTCTCTACAGTTAAGTGTTTAAGTGACACCCAGAGACCTCACCTGGGGTGGGGAGGCACTCTCCATCTTAAGGGAATGTGCCCTCTCTCTCCTTCCATGGGAGCCACACATCTTAGACATCCAAGTGGAGATCCATGTGCTCCAGAAGAGAGGGTACCTGGAGGCGAAAGGGGAGGTGGTAGAGTTTGAGGACCGAGCTGAGATGTTAGGCTGAAAGAACTTCCTTGATTCAAAGACATTATGTCAACATACCTAATAATGAAAATGAATATGAGGGCCAGGAGAAACCTGTGAGAATCAGTCTCGAGATAGAAACAATGAAAGATGAGAGAATGGGAGTCAGAGTAGGAACTTGGGGAGACAAGAGTGACCAGGAGAAAAGGGATCTTGGGTCATCAGAAGCTTGACACAAGCTCAGTATTCTTAGGAAGGCTGACATATCTCCACAAGCCACGGGAGAGCTGCTGGCACCTATCTGGACTGGTCCTGACGGGTCCACCCCTTTCCCATGTAGCTTGGAAGTGAATTCTGCAGGGATGACGCTGTCTTTCTTTGTCCAGTGATATCCTCACAATAAAAAAGTATCAATATTCACTGAGCTGCCAGTATCAAAGATCAGTTTGTGTTCTCTACCCCCACCTCTACCTTTTGGTCACTCATTAACTCATTCCCAAAAGACAGCCTCACACTGTGGTTTGTGTGTGGTTTGAAGAATATAATGATGGTAATGATGGGATGTGAGTGGAGGAATCAGATAATTAAGACACAAAGTGCCAAGTGTTCATGTCACTTAAGGATGGAACCATCTTTCTCTGACTTTAAATCTAGCTGCTTTATTATCAGGGTCTTCCAGTTGTCCATACTCCAGTATATCAATGAAACTGTAGCCAGAAGAAGATCATATTCCCTTTGTCCATATTCTTTTTTTTTTTTTTTTTAAACCTCTGCTACACTTCCCTCAACGACTCTCTGGGTAATCCCAGGAAAGGAGCTCAAGGGGGTACGCTTTGTTATACACCCCAGCTAGGTGGGGAAATAGTGAATCTCAGCCAATAGAGGCTGCATTTATTTCCCACAGCAAGATCCCAGCTCTGTGATGGGCAAGACAGAACTAAAGCTGTCCGCCTGTCTTAACTCTTCAGAACTTTTTAATAATATGTTTTTGCTAAGTTCCCCTATTTCACTGCTGCTGCTTCTCTGCAGTTTTAATTTATAATGAGAAGCTTCCTGGTGTTATTTTTCACAGAGGGTGTCATTAATATTTTAGCAATTGCAGTGCTGATGCAGGATGACAACCAGGAAATGGCCTTAGTTGGTACGTGTGGAGCGCAGCAGGGAGAGGGACAAACAGCGCTGATTGACTTACTCGGTACCCACATCCATGGTGGCGAGAGAGCTGGTGGGAGCGTGGGATGTGGGGTGGAGAGGCCTAAGGCTGTGAGGAACTGTCAGGAGATTGGGAAACACACAAGCCAAGGAAAGAACAGAAGGCGATCCACTAAGAGGAGACCGTGCCAACTGGAACAAAAGGAACTTTTTACAAAGAGAAAAACCACCCTTTGTATACAAGCCAAGGACCAAGACAGGAAAGATATCAGCTTGGTTCGGATACAGATGATTTACATTTTATATTATCTGTCAATCAGAAAGAACTGAGTGAGGAACAAGTCCCAGATCTGATGAGGAGGTTTTGGTCTCATAGCTCCATTCTTTCTACTAACCTTCTCTACATATCTTAGACATGAAACCTGCCTTTTCTAGGCTGAATGTTTAAAATGAGAACATTTATCTAGGTGCGTGGTTCTCAGCCTTCCTAATGCTCCAATTCTTTGCAACAGTTCCTTATGTTGTGGTGACCCTCAACCATAAAATGATTTTCCTTGCCACTTAGTAACTGTAATTTTGCTACTGTTATGGATTGTAATATAAACATCTGTGTTTTCTAATGGTAACATTTGTGAAAGGGTCACTAGACCCCAAGGGGACAGAGACCTACAGGCTGAGAACCACTGATCTAAGATATATTTGTTACAATTCCAGAATCCTCTGCACTCTCTTCCAAATGATTGATAAGGGGATTCCTGAGGCATTTTCTTCTGGGTCAGCAGCCTGGCACTGTGGTTGAAGACAGAGGTCCTACCTCAGGATCTGGCAGAAAAGACCTATACAATATTAGACAAATTCCCCAAGCCATGGTTTCCTGTGGCCAATGAAGAAAAAAGCTCTCTCCCAGGAACAGCACAAGATACTGCCATTGAAAACAAGGTGGGTAAAAGGAGAGAAAAGTGACAACCATTTGGCAGGGCCTACATGTACTAAGAAAATAACAGGCAATGCAGGTACGTGAAGCTGAACATTGAAGCTGGGGAAACTGAGTACATGTCTGGCCTCAATGAAGGAGTAGAAACACTGTGTACTACGGCCATCACCCCAGGCTCTGTCTCTTCCCAGCATCATACCTTGGCCAAATTACCCACATTTCTTGATTCTATTTCTTTACTCATAGGGATGATAATACCTGCATCGTGGACTTATTACAAAAATTAAATGCAACCACATCACGATTGACATGTAAGAACCCAAAAAATGCAGCAAAAGGAAGGAATGGTGTGCATATACATAGAAATATAATGTCTCAGAACACAAGGTCTTAATACTTGTATTAACTTCTCCAATGGCAGAAAAAGCAAGTGGGACTTAAGTTTGTCTCTAATTCACTCATTCACTCATTCATTTGTTAAGTTACTGAAACAACAAATTGTCAAATTATTCCATGCTTATTATAAACCAGCCACTGAAGAAGGAATAGTTCCTACATTGTGAACCTTAAAATTTAGAGAATCATGAACTAAAAGAATGAGATAAACAGCTTTGTGGTATAGTTGTTAGCAGAGCCACCTTCTAAGAATCAGAAAAACAAATACATTACAGTTTCATAAGTCAAGGGCCAAGTGGCATTTCAATAGAGGGTGATGAAGGTTTAAGATGAGGAAGAGGCATTTCAGATAATGGAAGAAACATGATGATGGATATAAAGCAGTCTAAGAGCTTAAGCAGAATTTCCCAAGAATTGGGCCTCACCTAAGGGGTCTTGGAGCCTCAGCATGCAACCATAATGCTCTAAGCAAGACTGGTAGCTCTCATCAACACTGTAAGGTATACTGTTATGGTTCAAGTTATTGAGATTTACTATATTTTCCTGAACCCCTGGCCCATGATAACTAGGGAAATATGGATTACACACACACACACACACACACACACATACATACACACACACACTCTCAAGGACCATCACACACTTGTATATGCACAATTTTCCTGTGTTTTCTCTTCATCCTGCCTCTTCATCCACAGATTTTTCTCTTTAGACTCCACTTCTTTAACTCAGACATAAAGTTGACAGAGAGAAGCAAGGAGGACGATGGGCCATGGAGAAATTAGAACAAAGCATGACATGCACTTATAAAAATGGCATAATGAGACCCTTGTATTGTATGCTAACCTCAAATACCTTGAAGTAAAATTTTGAAAAGATGTCTAAGACTGATGAGAGAGGGGGAATCATCTGTCTTCCTCAAGTGTGAGCCCCTAATGATTTATCCAATACCAAGTATTCAGCCCTAACAACATGTTTACATGAGCAGCACTAAGAGGATTCAGCTCAGCAGGTTGTATTTATACATTTATGTGGATGCATAAAAGGAACAATAACAATTAGAGAAAAAAGAAGAAAACAATAGAAGTAATAAAAGTAGAAGGGCTTGGAGATAGAGGAAGGGGAGGGAGCCATGGGGCATGGAGCAGGATATACTAATAGGGGATTGAAGGTGGTCAAAGTGTTCTCTATGCATGCACAGAATTATTTGTGCAATTAATAATTGCTAGTAAAACGGAAACAAATATTGAGTATCAACATTTCCTTGGTGCCTCCAGAAGAATGCACTCTGACAAAAGAATCAGTGAATGCACAAATATAAAAGAAAGTAAAAAGACTTAAGATTCTAGACATGTCCATTTTCTGCATAATTCTTGTCCATGGATTTTTATTGTCTCCCAGGGTCCCCTCTAACACCATGCCTACAGAGTCTCTTCTACTCACCAGACAAAATACTGTCCAGTAAAGCCCACCCTGAAGCAGTTATTCACGTCATGGTTGCCCACAGAATAGGAGCCGTATGATCGGTTGCATTCACCTTCCATGTAAAGCCTCCCTGAGTTTTAATTAAATTAGTTCTGCTTAGTTGTTTACTGAAACTGCACTGTTAAGGACCCAAGTATCTTCCTGGAATAATCCACAGTCATCGAGGAGAGGCAAGTGGAGCTATTTGCAGAACCTATGTGTACTTGCTAGGTGTATGTCAACTTGACCCAAGCTGGGGAACCTCAATTGAGACAATGTCTCCACAAGATCAGGCTGTAGGCATACCTGTAGGGCATTTTCTTAATTAGTGATTGATGGGGGAGGGCCCAGCCATTGTGGGTAGAGACAATCTCTGGTCTGATGGCCCTACATTCTATAAGAAAGCAGGCTGAGCAAGCCATAGGGAGTAAAGCGGCACACCTCCATGGCCTTTGCATCAGCTCCTGCCTCCAGGCTTCAGCTCTGATTGAGTTCAAGTCATTGTAAGGAATGTATTCACACAGCCAAAATTGTCATGAGACTTAAAACACTTGCAAGCTTAAAAAACTGAAAGCTTGGGG